TCATATGCGTGTTACATATTCAAACTTATTTTTAAATTTTATTGATTTTTTTGAAAGAGAGGGAGGGAAGAAAGGAGGGAGAGACAGACAGACAGGCAGAGATCAGTTTGTTGTTCCGCTTGTTTATGCATTCATTTGTTGCTTCCTATATGTGCCCTGACTGGAGATGGAACCTACAACCTTGGCATATCAGGAGAATGCTCTAACCAACTGAGCTACCCAGTCAGGGCCCGAACATTTAATGTCCGCTTGTGCTGCCCTGGCTGGTGTAGCTCAGTGGATTGAGCACAGGCCTGCAAACCAAAGGGTCGCCTGGGTCTCTGGGCATGTCCTCAGTAGGGGCGTGCAAGAGGCAGCCACACACTGATGTTTCTCTCCCTCTCTTTCTCCTTCCCTTCCCCTTTCTCTAAGAATAAATAAAATCTTTAATTAAAAAATATCAGTTGGTGCTTTATTTCATACTCTAATATTAAGAAAGAGATTTTGAGATTTTAAATGTTGTTTATATTATTGAGATTCAGCATCCTGAAATAGTCTTATGACTCACTGTGTTTGTAAGTCAAACATTCGGGAAACTTTTTCAGCAAACGTGCATGAAGACCATGCTTAGTACTCTCTCAGCTGTGGAAGGACACCTACAATAAAGGACTTAAATGACCTCTCATTTGGATAGCTTTGCTTCAGTAGACTTAGAATGACTCCTATATTTGAAATTGTTCCTACATATGCATGAAAGGTAAATCTTCATATCAAAGAAGCTTACTTCATCGTTTATGGGTTATAAATGGTCAAATGAGGTAACTTAAGGGTGAGCCAGTGAAAATTTCAACTCACGAAATTTATTTTTCACAAATTGACTTTTTTCCATCACCATCCACTTTCAATATCTGTCGGCAAATAAGAGTTACTGGTTGGAGGTAAATAATAACAATTCTTAGTGAATAAAGCCCCACACACAAAAAAATAAAAAGTATATTGTTTATAGTAGTGAAATTCTATCAGACTGCATTTAACAAAAATAATCCTACCATTTGAAAAATGTGTGAAATAGGAAACCACATTCATATCTAAATGTTGTCTTTTCTTTTACTACTAAATGTTTATTCCAAGTACCAGAGTTAACAATTTTTAAGAACCCATGTCTATGTACAATGAGTAAAAAACAGTCCTTTCCGGTGGATAAACATCTATTTTTAAAAATCTAATACATGGTTCTGGCACCACATACAACTTCTACAATCCATCTTTTCTCTCCACCTTTGCCTTCTCTTGGATTAGAAAAAAGTCAATAATCATATTGCTTATGGTCAGTGAAATCAAAGAACATTTGCAAAAAGTAAAGTTGTGACATGATGGCTTTCTCATTTTCAAAGATATTTTATATTTTAAAGAAACACCAGGAATTATGCCATATTCCATCCACACAGGAAGTGCCAGTTAAAAGTACTGCTGATGTAGAAGATACCATTGGACATACAGGCTGACCTAGTGATCATCATTTTCAAATGCATGGAAATAAAGCTTGCTACCATAGACAAAACAAAATATCATTTAAGTTCTCTTAAAGGCAGAATTAAATTCATTACTTTATTTCCTCCATGAACAACCACAAAAATATAGCATTTGATGCCCTTTTCCCATCTCCTCAAGAGAGGAGTTTTTTTGTGACTAACTGTACCTGGTAGCTAGTTTAATTTGGATAAACTTTAAAGGAAAAAACCTGAGAAAAGCCCATGTTGCCTTTCACATAATTATCTTTGTATATTCGTTCAATAAATATGTGCTATTTCAAGGTTTATTAATCAAGATTATTGTCTTAAAAGTAATTCCAATAGAGTCTAGAGTCTCTAACAAATAACTGGATTGCATGAGGAAGAGCTCCAGAGGTTTGGTTTCCTTGTCACAAGTACATTTAATGGGTGTTGGTTTCTCCCTTTTCTGGGAGTTGATAGAGATGTTTGTAGACCTGATCTAAGTTTGACCAAACAGTCCTTAAAACTTCATTCACATCCAAGTTTCTAGATTCTTGGGATTTGAATGAAAGTTTAACTTTACAAGGATGTATGTTCTTGATTACTTTTGAAGAAAATGATGAGAAATTATCTTCAAGGAAATAACATTGGTTACTCTGGGGTGAAAATTAAAATGAAGTTAATTTATTTTACATTGTCCCTAGTTTTATCTGATCTTACTTTAATTTAAAATTAACTTAATCTATTTGGATATGCAGTGCTCAATGAAATAAAAACAACCACCTAAGCCACTTGTAAATGCAAGACTTGCCAAACCCCGACCCATAATTTCCTTTCAAGATGCCTGACCTTTCTGAAAAGTGTTCAGCAAGAGGCAAGAGGCAACACAAAGTCCACTTCCAACAGTGGAGCCTGAGTCACAAACACCAGCCGAGCGCATTATGTGTCCTCTTCACATCCAGTGTTCTCACAGCTAGTTTTTAGAACAAAGTATTACAACGTAACAGCTCAGGGATACTTAATTTCTTTTTAAAAAGTGAATAAATCTTTAGTAGTTGTAATCTTTTAAATATTTTTTATATTCATTACATTAATAAAGGTACTTCATGAAAAGTGAAACTTCACTAAGAAGTTTATGATAAAACAATAGCAGCCTCCTACTACAAGTATCTCGTCTACTTATCAACTGTGTTACCTAGGTCAAGGAATCTGATATATTTCTGCTCCCTTTCTCCATCTATAAATGGAGATATTAAGAAGTCCCTAACTCACAGAGTTTTTGTGAGCAGATATGCATGAATAATATCCACAATACCCAGAATATAAGCACAAATTAAATGTTAGCCATCAGTATTATTACACCCCTTCCCCATCCTAATTCTCATGGTAGTCCCCCAAATCCTTCCCCCTGGCATTTACCTCCATATTTTCAAAAGCAGCATAACTTCTGTACATTATTTGTTTTTGACTCTGATAGATAATAGTTTTGTATATCCTCACCATCTTGCAATGCCTCTCAAATTATCTATATAAAATTGACATTTCATCATTTTAAGTTAAATCAAGACTCATCCATGTTTATATTTTCATGATATCAGGAACTTCAGACACGAGTAATAGTGAAGTCAACAACAGTGATTTAAACAGAGAGAGCTTCTATTTTTGTCTAATAAGAATTTTGGGGGAGGATGGTGGATTCCTGCTACCCTCCATATTTGTTTTGTATTCTTACAGTTGTCAAATCACCTTGAAAGATGGCTGATTCAGCCCCAGGCGACAGAATCACATCAGAAGCAGAAAGCAGGAGCTAGCTAGGGTCTCAAAATCCTTTCATCTCTTGTGGACTGCACTTATTAGGAAGAAAAATAACTTTATAATTAGCTATTCAGTAGAATTTCTCTGTATCTCACTGACCACCCCTGAATCCTATGGCAACTCCTAATTCCAAGGCAGGCTGGGCAAGTACTATCATACCCAAAGAATGGCACTGCTTTAATTGGTTTAGAGCAAAGTGTCCTGAACTTCCTTAGTTCACAGTGATAGTGGCATTTTCTGTGATTATTTCCACCATTGCTCCTAGGCAAAAGAACTACCTAGTAATCCCCCTTTAAGTAGCTGGGACCAAACAATGTATTATGTATTTATATCCTTAATATCTTACTGGCCATTTAAGTACATACCACACATCAATTGTCAAAATAATTTTAATAATAAAAAGAACTGTGTACCTCTTGGGTATCATACAACTTCTCATCTGAAAGTCAGATTAGACACCAATGCCCTCATTTCCTTTTCCAGACTGATCTCCATGCAGTACTGAAATCTCTGAAAATCCTGCTTCACAAACACATGATGTCTTGGAAGGAAAGGCAGTTGGGATGAAAGGTGAAACTAGGAACTGTCATGAACTCGCTCAAGAAACTAAATTCCTGTGACCTGGAAAAGAGCTGAACCCCTGAATGTGCAGTGGAGGGAGATTTCCTTTGGTATAAGTGTTCTGTTAACAGAATTTAAGCCACTTTTTTCTCTTTTTAGCTCAGTGCTTGAAGCCCAGCAGCAGGGACGGTTATTGGAACCCCTGAGCACTGAGCTTGAAGTTCCTCTGGGGCTGATGGTCTCAACGCTCATCCACAGAAGGTTCTGGGTTCAGAATTCTCTGCTTTCTATTGTAAATTGGTTATCGTTCTTCAGCTGTTTTCTGATTCCCAATGAAGCTACTGATATCTTCAATCAATAGTGGGCTCTCAGAACTCTGTTTTCCATGTGTGCTGATTATTTTTAAAATTACATCTTTATCTATCAGTGGAGTTTGAGAAAGAAAACAAGGGGGTGGTCAATGCAACATTTTCAACTAGAAGTCTGGGGTGAGTTTTGCACATGGCTTAACCTTAACAAGATGAGTGATAAAAGTAGAAAATTCCAGGCATTATTCCATATGAAAAATGTGCTATCATTATATAATACATAGTCATCCATTATATATACCAAAAACTGAGAGTTGTACATTTTGAAAATCCCTTTGATGCCCAGGTACCTAATGTATCAGGATGTCATAAGGTTCACCTAATCACTACCCTGCCCAACACTGCCCAAATTGGTGTGGAAATATTGTGGGAAACAAGCCATCTCCTACTCCAAATGCCCCTTTGCCTTTTCACAGTGACTCAGTCTCTACATAGGTAGAGAAGACAGTAAGTGTTATACCAGATATTAGTTCGAGATAATTGACATTGGCCAACAAATTTGAATATGGATTTTATCAGCCTCCAATTCAGCAATGTTTTTTGCATTACAAAAATAGTCTTTAAAAGATATCTTCATACTCTTGTATCCTATTGTCTATTTTCTATTCCTGAATGGTATTTTTGAAGACAAAAGTATTTTTTATTGTTATTAAGGAATAAGAGAGGTTACGCTAGGGAAGAAAAGAATATATATACCAAGATTTAGTTACAGATTAAATTTTATCAGGTTCAAAAAGTTCCTACATCATTCCCCTACTGAAAGACTATGAAAGAATTTGAAATAGTGCTTGCTTTGGCAGCACATATAGTAAAATTGGAATGGTAGAGAGAAGATTAGCATGGCCCCTGCGCAAGGATGACACACCCACTGGAAGAGAAAACCCAACAACAAAGAAACCACCAACAGACAACAACAAAAGAAAGTGAAGGAGGGAGTGGAAACCAGACAAACCTTCGATCCAGGACCTATCTGGAAATACAACAAAATACTGAAGAAACTACCTAGTACAAACAACTGAACAAGAGTAAAAGAGAATCCTAAAACCTTGTACACAGGGAAGAATCAGCTTGAACAAAACCCGCCCTCACCAGCACAACAAATTAAAACAGGTGGTGGACAGAGGCATCATCAGTTTAACAGCTGGTGGGAAGGACCCACAAAACAAAGATGCAAAAACAAACAAAACCCAAAGACAAACACAAACTTTTGATTAGACGTGACGCCTAATTGACTTAAACAAATCATGCATCTTGGGCTGTCCTTGACTTAAAGGACAGCCCAAGACCAGTGAGCTGGGGAGATCAAGGACACCACACCACTAAATCTCACAGGTATTCTACCACAGAAGTTCACACCATAAACCCAAGAAGCCAGAAAAAATCAATTTAAGAAGCTTAAGATAACAAGAAGTCTCACAGAAAATGGGAAGACAAAGAAACAATCCCCAAATGAAAAAAAAAAAAGGAAGCCTCAAAAAGAATGCTACATGAACTACAGGCATGTCAACTATCAGATATGGAATTCAAAGCACTGGTTATCAGGAAGTTCAAGGAGCTCACAATGACCTACCAGAAATTAGAGGGGAACTACAATGAACTCACTGCAAACTATATCAACATGAAAAATGACATAGAAACCATCAATAAGGGCCAGGAGGAAATGAAGAATACAATTTCTGAACTGAAGAACACAGTGGAAGCAATCAAAAGCAGCATCAATGAAGCAGAAGATCGGATCAGCGAGTTGGAGGACAAACTAGAAAAAAAATCCCAGAAAGATCAAGAAAAGGAAAAGAGGCTCAAAAAGACTGAAGAGGGATTAAGAGAAATGCAAGACAATATGAAACATACTAATATCCAAGTAATAGGGATACCAGAAGGAGAAGAAGAGCAAGGGATAGAAAGCCTATTTGAAAAAGTAATGATGAAAAACTTCCCTAATTTGATGAGTGAAAAAGTAACACTAATCCAAGAAACACACAGAGTCCCAATCAAGAGAAACCCAAGGAGGTCCACTTCAAGACACATCATCATTAAAATGGCAAAATTCCAAGACACAGAGAGAATCTTAAAGGCAGCAAGGGAGGAAAAAGGAAGTAACATACAAGGAAGCCCCAATAAGGTTAGCTTCTCACTTCTCAATGGAAATGCTCCAAGCAAGAAGAGAATGGCAAGAAATATTCCAAGTAATGAGACCCAGAGGCCTGCAACCATGACTACATTACCCAACAAGGCTCTCAATCAAGCTAGAAGGACAAATAAAAAGCTTCCAAGACAAAAGAAGTCTAAAACAATACACCTCCACCAAACCAGCTCTGCAAAACATGCTAAAAGGATGCTTTAAGGAAAGGAAGGAAAACAGAGAGACAAAGAGAAACACTAGTACAAAAATGACAATGAATAAGTACCTATCAATAATAACCTTAAACATAAATGGATTAAATGCTCCAATCAAATGACATAGAATAGCTGAATGGATAAGAAAGCATGACCCACACATATGCTGCCTACAAGAGACCCACCTCAGGACAAAAGATCTACAGAGACTAAAAGTGAAGGGCTGGGAACAAATTTTCCAAGCAAACGAACAGGGTAAAAAACTGGGGTAGCAGTACTCATATCAGACAAAATAGACTTCAAAAAAGAGCCATAAAAAGAGACCCCCAAGGTCACTTCATAATACTCAAGGGAAGAATCCACCAAGAAGACATAAACATTGTAAATATATATGCACCCAACATAGGAGCACTCAAATATATTTAAAAAAATCTTACAGGACTTCAAGAAAGATATTGACAGCAACACAATTATAGTAGGGGATTTTAACACCCCACTGTCAAAAATGGACAGATCTTCCAAACAAAATATCAACAAAGATATTGTGGCATTGAACAACACTCTAGATGAAATGGATTTAACTAATATATATAGAGGCCTTCATCCCAAAGAAGCTAAATACACATTCTTTTCAAATGCACATGCAACATTTTCAAAGATAAACCACATGATAGGACGCAAAATGAGCCTCAACAAATTCAAGACAGTTGAAATCATACCAAGTGTTTTCTCCTACCACAAGGGACTGAAACTAGAAACCAATCCCAAAGGAAAAGACCCAAAATATTCAAAATCATGGAGATTGACTAGCATGCTATTAAACAATGAATGGGTCAAGAATGAAATAAGAGAAGAAATCAAAAAATTTCTGGAAACAAATGAAAATGAACTCACGACAACACAAAACTTATGGGACACAGCAAAGGCAGTGCTGAGAGGGAAGTTCATAGCGATACACGCCTACCTAAAAAAGATAGAAACATTTCAAATAAACAACCTAACCCTACACCTAAAAGAACTCGAGGAACAACAACAAAGACAGCCCAGAGCAAGTAGAAGGAAAGAAATAGCCAAGATCAGAGCAGAATTAAATGACATAGAGACTAAAAGCACAATTCTAAGGATCAATGAATCCAAGAGCTGGTTTTTTGAAAAGATAAACAAAATAAACAAGCCTTTAAGTAGGCTCATCAAGAAAAGAAGAGAGAGGACCCAAATAAACACAATCAGAAATGAAAGAGGAGAGATTACAACGGACACCACAGAAATACAAAGGACTGTAAGAAAGTACTATGAAGAACTATATGCCAAGAAATAGCACCCATTTATGATAAAAACACTCAGCAAAGTGGGAATAGAGGGATCATTCCTCAACATAATAAAGGCCATATAGGAGAGACCTACAGCCAACATCATACTCAATGGGCAAAAACCAAAAGCTTTTCCACTAAGATCAGGAACAAGACAAGGTTGTCCAATGTGGGGGCAAATTTGCCCTCAAGTCCCCCCATCTGCAACGGATGAAAGTAAAACTACCAAGACATAATCTGCTTGGGGAGGAGAGGTGGCCAGTTTCTCAGAAGAAAAAGGCCAGGAGCCCCTTCCTCTAGAGGCTTTTATTGGATTGTAATACACAGAAATACAGGTGGCAAGGATCAAACAGTAGATAACATTTCAAAGAAATCTGAGTGCTTAGTTTGAGTCAGTGTCTGTCAGGAAAGGGGACTGCAGAAACTTTGGGAGACATGCTCATTTCCTGCTTGGACCCTTAACATATGAATGAAAGCACTCTTAGTAAAGCAAGTTTCGCAGGACTTTTAGGAATTCTTTCTTATGCCTGATTACCCCGGATACCGCTCTAGCAAGGCAAGGAGCAGCACCACCTCCCCATCACAGGTTTTTAGGCTTAAGTGGAATACAGCCAGGAAGCGCTTCTCCCAGAGGACCTGGGGAGTCTGGCTATGTCAGAATAGCCAGGGGGCAAGGGTCCATTGCTCCCTCTTTGTCACAGCCCCCTGAGTCCTTCCATGATGACCTCCCAAGTGATCCTGCCTGGCTTAGGTTGCCTCTCACTGTGAGGAGTCTTACCTGTCATGGACATCAACCATACTTTGGGAGCAGGAGAGTAAGCTGAGGCAGCGATTGCTACCAGAGACAAGCTTTTGTCTCCTGTGGCTCACATTCCGGAGGCCGCTCACTCATCCTTAGACATGGGGGGTAGTTACAATCCCTGAAACCAGGCAGAGCACTTCCCAGCAGTCCACTTTCACCACTTCTATTCAATATAGTATTGGAAGTTTTAGCCACAGCGATCAGACAAGGAAATAAAAGGCATCCAAATGGGAAAGGGGGAAACAAAACTGTCATTGTTTGCAGATGACATGATAGTGTACATGGAAAATCCTATAGACTGTACCAAAAAACTGCTCGGACTAATGAATTTGGCAAAACAGTGGGATACAAAGCCAATATCCAGAAATCAAAGGTTTTTGTATACCAACAATAAAACAGCAGAAGCAGAAATCAAGAAAAAAATCCCATTTGATATAGCAAAAACAAAAATAAAATACCTAGGAATAAACCTAACCAAGGAGGTAAAAGACCTGTATGCAGAAAATTACACAACACTGAAGAAAGAAATCAAGGAACACACGAACAAATAGAAACATATACTGTGTTCATGGATTAGAAGAATTAACATCATCAAAATGTCCATACTACCCAAAGCAATTTACAGATTCAATGCAATACCTATTAAAGTACCAATGGCATATTTCACAGACATAGAAGAAACACTTCAAAAATGTATAAGGAACCATAAACAACTCCGAATAGCAGCTGCAATTTTGAGAAAGAAGAACAAAGTAGGAGGGATCAGAATACCTGATATCAAACTGAATTACAAGGCCACTGTAATCAAAACAGCCTGGTACTGGCATAAAAACAGGCACATAGACCAATGGAACAGAACAGAGAGCCCAGAAATAAACCCAAGTGTCTATGGTCAATTAATATTCAACAAAGGGGACAGTAACATAAAATGGAGTAAAAATAGCCTCTTCAACAAATGGTGTTAGGAGAACTGGACAGCTACATGCAAAAAAAAAAAAAAATGAAATGAGCACCAACTTACACCATACACCAAAATAAATTCAAGGTGGATAAAAGACTTAAATATAAGCTGTGACACCATTAAGGTCCTAGAGGAGAACATAGGCAAGAAAATGTCAGATATTTCGCGCAGAAACATTTTTACTGATATGTCCCCTAGAGCAAGGGACATAAAAAAAGAACAAATAAATGGGATCTCATCAAAATAAAAAGCTTCTGCATGGATAAAGAAAACAGTATTAAAATAAAAAGAGAACCAACTATATGGGAAAACATAGTTGCCAATGATACCTAAGACAAGGGTTTAATCTCCAAAATATACAAGAAATTTTCACACCTTCACTCTAAGAAGACAAGCAACCCAATTCAACAGTGGGCAAAGGACTTGAACAGACACTTCTCCAAGGAGGACATACAGAGGATCCAGAGTCACATGAAAAGATG